AATTTCATTCTGTAATGTTCCTGCGAGGCACTTTAGGCACAACGTAAACATGTTTCTTTTTATTTGTTCATGGGATGTGAGTATTCCTGGATAGGATAGCATTTATTGACCATCCCTAATTGCCCTCAAGCTGATATTGGGGTGCTAACTTCTTGAATTGCTATCCATGGATGGTAGACATACACAAAGTGTTGCTGGCAAAGGCAGTTCCAAGATTTTGACCTTGCTCAAGTGCAGGAACATTGATCTAAATCCAAGTCAGAATGTCAGTGAGTTGCTGCAGACTATCATGTAGATAATACACAATGCTGTCACTCTCTGTCAGCAGTGGAGAGAGTGGCTGTTAAACTGGTCAATGGGTGTCAATCAAGTGGCTGCTCTGTCCTGGATAATGCTGAGTTTTTTCAGTAGTGTTGGAGCTGCATTCATTCAAGCAAGCAGAGTGTATTCATTCCATCACACTCCAGATATGTGTCTTGTAGATGATGGATGGGCACTGGCGAATCAAGAGGGGAGTTACTAAATGCAGAATTCCTGGCTTCTGACCTGCTACTCTCTGCAACAATGACTCCCTTAAGCAACCCCCTGATTGCAACCAAGTGTAGATACAATGCAGCCCATTATTCCACCAGAGCCAGAGCAGATGACAAGCCTCCTGAAGATGAGTTTCTGAGGTGCAATGGTCTTGGGAGGTGTCCTCACAGTACAGATTTGGGGAGGCAAGGCCTAGTGGTACTATTGCCAGATTATTAATCAAGGAACTCAGCTAATGTTCTAGGGACACAGATTCAAATCCCAAATGGTGGAATCTGAATTCAACATTAAAAAAACATCTGGAATTAAGGATCTAATGATGACCATGAAGCCATTGTCGATTGTCAGAAAAATCCATCTGGTTCACTAATGTTCTTTAGGGAGGGAAATCTGTCATCCTTACCTGGTCTGGTCTACATGTAATTCCAGACCCACAGCAATGTGGTTGACTGGTAACTCCCCTCTGGGTAATTAGGGATGGGCAATAAATGCTGGCCTAGCCAGAGACATCCACCTCCTGTGAGTAAATAAACAGAAAGTCCAGACAAAGTGTGCTGCACAACCATATCATGTTGTGCTCTGCCAAATAAGAGCTGTGATGGATACTGAACAAATGGGAGATCAGCAGTTGTGTTCTGATGATGACAGTGAGCAAGACAAATATCGTCTTCAGCATGACAGATTGATGCAGAGCTGGCACAATAAGTCAGACAGACTTTACTGAAGCCCAGTTCCAATAGATGTCAGTTGGATGAAGTGATCATTTATTCGCTGTAAATCTATTGTTGCTCAAAAGGCAAGTAACTGCTTTCTTTCCCCAGAAGCAAATTCAGCCATTTTATTGCTTTTCCTTTGCTTTTCCTGTTTGATTAGAATAATTAGAAAAATTACAGCACAGGAACAGGCCCTACAGCCCTCCAACCCTGCACCAACATGCTGCCCATCACAACTAAAACCCCTTACCCTTCAGGGGACCGTATCCCTCTATTCCCGTCCTATTCATGTATTTGTCAAGATGACCTTTAGAAGTCACGATAGTATCTGCTTCCACTATCTCCCCCAGCAGCGAGTTCCAGGCACCCACAACCCTCTGTGTAAAAAGCTTGCCTCATACATTATCTTTAAACCTTGTCTCTCAAACCTTAAACCTATGCCCCCTAGTAACTGACTCTTCCACCCTGGGAAAAAGTTTCTGATTGTCCACTCTGTCCATACCCTTCATAACCTTGTAGACCTCTATCAGGTTGCCCCTCAACCTCTGTTGTTCCAGTAAGAACAACCCATGTTTCTCCAACCTCTCCTCATAGCTAATGCCTCCATACCAGGCAACATCCTGGTAGATCTTTTCTGTACCCTCTCCAAAGCCACCACATCCTTCTGCTAGTGTGGCGACCAGGACTGAACTCAATATTCCAAATGCTGCCTAAGGTTCTATAAAGCTGCAACATTACCTGCCAATTTTTAAACTCAATGCCCCGGCCGATGAAGACAAGCATGCCATATACCTCGTTGACTACCTTCTCCACCTGTGTTGCCATTTTCAGTGATCTGTGTACCTGTACACCCAGATCCCTCTGCCTATCAGCACTTTTAAGGGTTCTGCCATTTACTGTATATTTTCCATCTGGATGAGACCTTCCAAAATACATTACCTCATATTTTTCCGGATTAAACGCCATCTGCCATCTCTCTGCCTAAGTCACCAACCGATCTATATCCTGCTGTATCCTTTGACGGTCCTCCATCGCTATCCACAATTCTACCAACCTTTGAGTCATCCGCACACTTACTCATCAGACCAGTTACATTTTCTTCCAAATCATTTATATATATTACAAATAGCAAAGGTCCCAACAGTGATCCCTGAGAAACGCCACAAGTCACAGCCCTCCATTCAGAAATGCACCCTTCCACTGCTCCCCTCCATCTTCTCTGACCGAGCCAGTTTTTAATCCATCTTGCAAGCTCACCTCTGACCCCGTGCGACTTTAGCTTCTGTAACAGTCTGCCATGAGGGACCTTGTCAAAGGCCTTACTGAAGTCCATGTAGACAATATCCACTACCCTACCCTCATTGATCATCTTCATCACTTCCTCAAAAAACTCAATCAAGTTAGTGAGACACAACCTATCCTTCACAAAACCATGTTGCCTCTCACTAATATGCCCACTGATTTCCAAGTGGAAGTAAATCCTGTCTTGAAGAATCCTCTCCAATAATTTCCATACCACTGACGTAAGGCTCACCAGCCTGTAATTAACTAGATTATCCCTGCCACCCTTCTTAAACAAAGGAACAACATTGGCTATTCTCCAATCCTCTGGGACGTCTCCTGTAGCCAGTGAGGATACAAAGCTTTCTCTCAAGGCCCCAACAATTTCCTCCCTTGCCTCTCTCAGTATTCTGGGGTATATTCCATCAGGTCCTGGGGACTTGTCTATCTTAATGTTTTTCAAGACCCCTAATACATCCTCCTTTTTGATCTCAACATGACCTTTGTTCAGTAAAAGTGAACAATTTCATACGTTTCAAAGTTTTCCAACATATGATATGTCAGCATTAAACAAGTACAAAGTGTCATGCTCTGCTGTGTGTTAGGGAAAAGAGTAGCACTCCCTAAGTTGGGATCTTTCATGGTATGGCACTAAGTTTGGGTAGCTTGCGTACTTCATTCTTGTAGATGGAGGTATGATGACAATTGATCAGACTGATGGTGATGAAAGTAGCAACACATTTACAAATTTGATATTCCATTTCTAATTAAGAGTTACCAATGGGGCCTTAGAAGCTGTTCTTTATCATTTCCCTCCCACTACATGTGCTATGGAGGGTTACTTGTGACTGACAGTGATTGACCTGGTGCTCTAATGGACTTTAAGTATGATGCTGGTGGTAGAAATCTAGTGCCAGCAGAGGCGTGTACTTCTGCTGCTGGTGAGGGCATGATAGCACAGCACCACAGAGGTATGGGCAAACATAATGAGATCAGCAGTGGAGAATTGAACAATATAACTCACTAGTACTCACAGAGAGAAATCCTCCACGAAATTCTACAAAACTGCCACCTAGATAGTGTTCTTTTTGCGTTTCTTTCCAGGGCCTGGCATGTTGCACAGGGAAATATAATATAGAAAGTATTTCCAAATTTCATTTCCATTCAATATTAGGATGCCTTATATGTTCATTGCTAACATTTCCAGTTCTGATGAAAATAATCAGATGGAAATGTTACATGTTGCTCTGTACGAATTCTGTATGACATTTTTTTATTCACTCATTGGACGTAGATCCCATTGGCTAAGCCAGGACTTGTTCTCCATCCCTAGTTGCACTTGAGAACGTGACAGTGAGCTGCCCTCTTGAACTGCTGCAGTCCATGTGCTGTAGGTAGATCCACAATGCTGTTAGAGAGGGAATTGCAGGATTTTGATCCAGCCACTGAAGGAACGGTGATTTATTTCCAGAAACTTAATATAGGATCAAGTTAAAACTGCTGCCTGAATCCTAACTCTCAGCAATCCTGCTCACCCATTATCCCAAGTACTTGACAATACTGGCTTCTTGCCCAACTATGCCTGATTCATGTAATTCATCCTTATGTTCAAAACTATCTCTCGCTACTTTCACAACCTCCTTGAACATCTCTATATATACTCACCCCACAACTCCCTCTATTTTGAGATAACTGTACTCCTTTAATTCGGTACCTTGTTCACTTCTTTCGCACAACTGTGCATTCAGCTTTTAAGCCCGAAGCTTTCTAAATTTCAGTTTTTGACTCTAAGATGCTTCTTCAAATTTCTCTGTTTGAAGAAGCTTTTGGGCATCTGTTCTGTTATTTCCTATTTGGCTTAGCAGCATTTTCTTGTGCCTTGTTTCACTCGTCCAAAACACTTTGGGACATTTTACTATACCTTGAGCACATTGCTACTAAACTGCACACATATACAACCTGTTGTTTTTGCTTGTTTATAATTTGCAGTTCACAAAAGATTTCCTTGTAAACTGTTCACAGAATACAGCTGGGTGAAGAACAGCATGAAAGCTACCTGTTAGTCATTGGGTGGGAAGTAGGTTCAGCCCCCTTTAAGCTAATAAATGCAGCTAACTGTAGTTGTATTGATCAACACAACAATTGTTATTTTTAGGAAGCAATGAACTGCATTTAGTGTACAGATATACCGATAAGAAGGAAAATGTTTTCAATTCTGGATGCTAGTGAAAACCATGTAATGAATGTAACAGGAGGAGCTGCCAACCATATTGTGGATTTGACTGACCTGAAGTCTTAGACTTGTTAAGTTTATTTTGAATGAAGTCAGAATGCCTCCTTAGGAGTGATTTTGTAGAAACATAGCATTGTTTAAAATATTACTGTCTGTCAGTTAGAGTTTTGATAATAAAACCAGTGGACACGTCTTGTAAATTAACTCCGACAGGTGCACAGACTAAAGAGATGGCTAACCTTCCTTCTTCTTTGTTCCAAAGGAGGGCTGTCTGGCAGCATCAGCTTCAGAAATTCCTCCTTGGTAAATGTTTGCTGGGGTTTGCTGATAGGGTTCAGATCCTCTGCTGAAGCCTCATGTTGACTGGAACTTGATATTTCTGTTACATCACCATACAGTCTCCTAGAGAGGGAAAAGATGACATGAGTATTTATGAATAACAGCAATCAAACTGAGCTTTATACTTGTGCCTGGTGATTGCAATTGCTGAACGATATCATACTCACATACAAGTACTATGTTCTATCAACTGAAAGCTAAATCTCCAGCATTCAATAAATGAATATTTAGTAAAAGAGGTGATTGCACTATCTACAAGTAAGCAGTATTTATTTCACTGTAAAGTTGATTTTTTTAGTAGTCCAACAATATTCTTGCATATTAGGGACCTTTCTTCAAACAACTACAAACTGCATAATAGTGTTTTAATATAGTAAAACATTCCAAGGTACTTCATAGTTGTGTTATCATGCAATGTTTGACACTAAGCCACAGAAGGTGATAGTGAAATAGGTTTAAATGAAGATCTCAACGGAAAGAGAGAGGTTGAAGTTATAGGTTATAAAAGTTAAGAAGGGTGATGCCACGTAGGGATTTGAACGCAAAGAGTCAAATTTTAAAACTGTGCACTGCTTGACTCGAAACCATCATAGCTAAGTGAGCTCTGAGATTGGGTGCAAGTTAGAATATGGGTCATAAGAATTTTGAATGAGCTCAAGTACACGGAGGGTTGAGAGAGGGAGCTCAGTCGGGGAAGTATTGGATAGATGGGTTTGATGGTTTCAGCAGCAGATTGGAGGAGGCACAGAAGAGGCTGAAAATTTACCTGTGTGGTCAAACATGACACCCTTTGTGAAAGGGTCTGTGAGTAGTTTGATTCAGCCTCAAAAAGTTGTCAGAAAAAAGCATAGTGTTAGTGGGCAAAGGGCAGATGAAACTGATTCCAGAAATGCAACAGTGTGAGGTTAGTGAGATGGAAAGGGGGAGTGATGGAGTACAAATTGTTCACTTATTTGATTTATAGTTTTGGGAGAAAATATGGTCCCAGAAAATTAGTTTATTTTAAAAAGCACTTCAATATGCTGTAGAATTGTCCTCTTTCTAGATATTCTATCACAATTAAAGATACTGGCATATATTTAGGCAAGCGTAAATGCATATCATTCTAAATTACTTCTAATGGCGCTTAATATTGTCAATTTTAACCCATTTATTTGAAATTGGTGGACAGAACGACTTAATATCCTGTTAGTCAGAACTGCATACAACTCTGTGTGGCCAGCTTTCATTCAGCACCTTTTTAAACAGAACAAATGGAAGCCTCTTGCCATTTAGCACAACAATAAGAACTCCAACATTTTGCTTGTTTATAATGCAATTAGAATGATTAAACATCCAAACGAATAACTGGAAAATTGGCTGGCAGTTGCCTTAATAAAGGGTTACTTTAGGCACAAGTAGAATCTCTTATAATTGTAAATCATTACTTCTATATGTTCTTCAGACAGGACATTTAGATATGCACTGGGGCTTTAAAAGCTAAACAGACTTTATATATTGAACAATACAAAATAAGATAAATTTTTACAAAATTGATTTACTTCGGTAGTTTACATCACAGAAATTTACAAGCAGATGTTAAATAACTTTCAGTTATTTTTGTTAATTTTGTAGATATTTAGTATTTTGATCAGCTGCAAATACTGTGGACAGAGTCTTCTCCTGAGAAGTGACTGGGAAGGCCGCAGGAGATGAAGCTAAACAGGTAGGTTGGTTTCAGGAGAACCCCAGCTGCCTTTCTGCCACCACAGGAATTAAATTCCAGGGAAACTTTACTCACCCTGCCAATTGAGACATTTAAGTGACAATTAATAACTACTTAAGACCTTCTCACGCCACTGTCATGATTAATCCTGTCATGCAAGAACATGGGCAGCTTTCTCACTCGTAAAATGGAGAGACTTATATTCTGTGTTGGGAAGAAGTAGGACCTCAATCTGTGCAATAATCAGGGATATGGATGGGGCAGGGACATGATCATTGAAAATTATTCCTCTGCTCTTGCTTCCCAAACCACACCCGGCCTGTGCCCCTGCAGTGACATACCCCCAAGCCTATTGCTCCTACACTTCTGGACTACCATGCTGCCAGCAGCCTTCAATGTGGTGCTGTGGATCGCAGTGATTGCCATGGCTGGCAGGTTCAGATGGGGCATCTTTGCTGCCCCTGGAGGAAGTGATCCAAGTGGAAAGCTGTCTGGGCGACCCATTAAGTGACTAACCTGCACATGATCCAGCGGGATTTCCCATTTGTGGTGGTGTATCCTGTCCTTTCTCACAAATGCTACGATACTACAAAGTGGAAGATATTGTCCTGTAGGAGCAATTAATATCTGCAATAGCTTCTTGTCAACCTAAAAAAATCTTTTCACAATGTGCAAATCATTAGATTCTTGTCAATGCTTCTTGTCTTGGTGTGCAGATACCGATTTGTTCTAGAAATAGTTTATATTCATGTAGTCTCCTCAATACTTTAAATGGTTCAGTAACTACGAAATTATAGAACTGTCATAACACAGAAGAAAACCATTCAGTCCATCATTTATATACCAGGTCTGAGACCAATTCTACTTGTACTATTCACTGTGTGTTGCACACATTATGTGAATAAAAGAAAATAAATCTTAGACAAAGACACACGATCTATACCGATTTTTGGCCCAAAAATCCCAACTTTCACAATTAGGTAGTGGAAAAATGTAACAAAACAGTGAGTCTGACAAATGCACTGATGTAAACAAGAAGGTATAATCAACAATCGGACATGACATTTTAATCTCACTCTTCCATCCTCTCCAATGAGAACACTGTTATTCTTGATCAGACAGTAAAACAGGGTTTCAAAGAAGGGTCACTGGACGCGAAACATCAACTCTGATTTGTCTCTACAGATGCTGCTAGATCTGCTGAGCTTTTCTAGCAAATTCTGCTTTTGTTTTTGTGACAGTAAAATAGAGTGCCAGGAAGGTAGGGTGTCAGTGTACAAGGTGGCAAGGTAAGCATTTAGGATTGGGGCAAGGTGGACTGGAGAAAATTGAACCAACATTTTGGGGAGAGGGGAAGTGTCAGGTCTGAGGGGCTTGGTCGAGTGGTAGGGGTGACAGGTTGGTCTTGTGACAGGAGCGGGGTTCAGGAGTTAGGTCAGGGGGTTGTGTGGTGGGGGTGGGGGAGGGTGATGGTGGGAAATGTGTGTTTGGTCACTGGGGGGTGAGTGTTGCATTTAGGAGACACCGTCAGATCCCAGGGGTGTCAGATCAGGCTCTGGGGGATATAAGTGGTCTAGAGATCCTGTATTTAGGACAGTGCAAGGTAAGTATGAAATTCATTTTAATAGTTACTCAAGAGTTATACAATGTATCACACTACATAACTGTTCCACTTAATTTCATCAGAACCATCCAAAATCTCCTACTTTTATGGAGACTTTGAGGTCTCCAGGCATACAGAATGTGCCCAGAGGAAAAATCAATTTTCCGAGCAATTTCTTCGGACTGTGTTACCTTGGGGATTCCATAGGTTCCCATGCACAACAGCTGTCTGGTCAGCAGAAAATTTTCCCGCAATAGTATTCGCTCACCACTGTTAAATAGCTGTCCCATTAAACAGTTCAGTAACATTAATTTGAACAATAAAAACTAAGTGTCAGCTAAAGGGTCCAACCAGAGCTCGCTTTGTAAACACTCACTATAGATAGCAAGTTGTTCTCAAAATTTCAAAGATTTCTTGTTACTAGGAATGCCAGACACTATCCCGCTTATGCCACTAAATTCATCTAGGTGCGATATTCAGATCACCAAGAAAATAAAGTGGATGAACAATGAATATTTATGAAAATATTGGGATGATATTAACTCAATTAATTTAACTGGTAATTAGTCCAACTGGTTCAGTCTGGGTATTTGGTATGGGTATATTGATCCTAAAGGGGTGCAGGGCAGATTCAACAGAATGATTGGAATATCAAAACGGTTGGATTACCAAATCAGGTTATATAGACTGGGTTTGTATTTTTGAAATAAGTGCACCGAGGCTGGTATGCTGTCACCAAATCACCCTTTCTTTACTTGTGCACAATACACTGGCTGTGGCTAGCCAGCTTGGAGTCAGTCCCCTGAACTGAGGAGATTCCAAATCCCCTGTTTACATTGGTCAGCCAAGACTTCCTAATTGTCCCAGGTTAAAAACTCCAATCAAGGACCTCATAACCAACAAGATCCACCTGGTTCCAATCACTACAATTTTCTTTAGTAAAGATTAAATAATTACCAAATTTAGGATTAGTAATAGAGGAATGATCTCTTTGTGAATGGGGAAGGCAGAACAAGGAGGATCTCAAGGAGAATCTCAAAAGTGAAGCTGATTGTTGAACTGATGTTGAACTGCTCTTGTAGCCATATGGCTTGCCCAGTACAGATTCGAGTCAATGGTAACCGCACGATGTTGATAGTGGAGGATTCACTGATGAGTATTTGTGTGACTACAACAACAATCAGAAGTTTGGAACTCTCTCTTCCAGAAGTTTTGAGTGAGGGAGTCAGTTGAAATTTTCAAAGCTGAAACTGATTGATTTTAGTTCATAAAGAGTTATGAAAACAAGGCAAGTAAATTGAATTCAAGTAAAAATCAGCCACAACCTAAATAAATAGTGAAACAGATTTAATAACCAAAGTGGCCTACCGCTGTTCCCATGTCCTGATCTTTGCACCATAAATTTTTGAATAAAGAAGTGCTTTGCATTCAGTGCCATCACCAATCAGAATTAAACCTATCTGACTGCTCATGGTTTTTCGATAAATAGGATTGAGAGACCGCAAGTGGAAATACTTTCAATGATATTTTTCAGCAGCCTAGAATGTATCATATGCATGTCATTCCCTAAAGTTGTTGGAATTTTTTTTAAAAAAGTGCTGGTGATATTCACAGTCCCTCATATTAGTGTTATTTTAATATCTCCCGAGTGTTTATTCCATGCCATGTATTAGGAATTGCAAAATTGTAGATTGTAAGTTACATTCAGTTGTGAAGTCCTTCTCTGAAGCAGCAATGGTGGCTGTGGAAAGCAGT